CCTCGCTCCAAAACGGAACGACCACCAACACACACACACACACACACACACACACACACACACACACCCGCTGGCCGGCTACTCCAAACTTGCCCTCCCCTTGGCTGCCTGGCTCCCCGCAGAAATTCAGAAATGGGGTGGCCTGGCGCAGCATACCAAACCCGGATCCGCAAGGCTAGTGCCGTCGTCCCCCTCAGCCAGATTGCAACAATGCTATCCACCCAGGAGGCCCCTTCAATTACGACCCGGCCAAGTCAGGCCAACGTCTCTTGCTGGCGGCTTCGCCGGCCGGTTTATCCAGCGAGCTTGAGGCGTGCGTACGTCAGATGGCTCCCTCTGCGGTTGCCATCCTGTTCTTCCTATTCTTCCAAGCATCCGGATGCCACGCCACATCATAGACGCAGAGTCTGGCACCGGCTGCCGATACCGTCGAATATGCATGTGTTGTCGACGGGTGTGTACTGCTTTGTGATGATCTTGATCACCTCCTGGGCCACCATGCCGCCCGTCAGAGCCGAGATGTTGTGGAGCTCGCCGCCACTGGCCCTGGCCACCTCCTCGGCCGCTTTCACTAGCCGATCGTTTGAGGCGGCACTGGGCACCATATCCCTCATGGTCCCCATGATGTCCTCGGCCGTGGCAGCGGGGTCATCTGCGGTGGCAGACAAGGCCATATAGATGGGGACCAGCGACAGGGGCATCATCATGGCCTCTGCGTTCGCGTCATTCGCCAGTTCGGCCGCTGTGGCAACGTTTTAATATATATACCCCCAAGTCCCGGTGGCAAGCCGCGGTGACCCGACCGGGGCAGCAGCAAGGGATGCATGGGTGGATGTGACTTACCTACGACCGAGGCCAGCCGATCAGCGCTGGGCCCAGTCTCGGTTGCGTTGATGAGCTTGACAAACGCAGCGTTCTTGCAGAACAGCTCCACCTCGGCAGGCTCGATCCCACCACCGCCTGGCGACGATCGGACCGTCTCGAGCACCTCAGCAACATCCCGACGCGCCTTTGCCTTGTAGATGTTCTGAAGCTGGATGTAGACGCTCGACTGTGCCTTCATGTCGGGTACCTTCCCTGGCACCGGCAGGCACTGGTGTTTCTCCCAGAACGCCCCCACAGCCGCCGCGATGACCCAGAAACTGCCCTTGGCCGCATCCTGAACACAATCTCGTTAGCCACGCACCGATCCAAGGCCGCGCTAGGTCAGTCTGGGCGGGGGCGGGGGCGAGAACCTACCTTGTGGGTATCCAGGTACTTGAACACTTCCTTTAGTCCTGACGGAAGCGAGGGTGGCGAGATGGTCTTCAGGACCGCCGCCACTGCTTCGTCAAAATTCTCCTCCCCGCCCTCTGCGTTGTCTCTCCTCTGCGCCTCGGACACAATCTTCCTGAAGGCCGTCTTCTCCGCATATGTCGAGGGGTAGCGCCCATCGTAGCTCTCCTTCCACTGCTCGAGATAGTAGAGCAATATCACCACGTACGGCAGGTGACCATGCTGGTGGTTGTCCAGGCCGTCAATATCTGCAGTCATGCCCTTGGCGAAGTCCACTAGCTCTGGCCAGGGCCCTAGCAGGCGCAGATCCGTCGTCGCCGTCTCGTCTGGGTGGGTGTCGACGATGGGGAAAGTTCCAGGCAGCTCCACCCGGAAATACGAGTACAGCCCGGCCGAGTGTACGGCTACCAGCGGCGTGCCGTGCTGGCGGCCGTAGGACTTGACGAGATCCCTGTCGCTCTTCGAGATGGGGTGCGAGTAGATGATCAGGGAATAAGCCGGCGAGGCTTGCCCAAGAAGCTGCTCAAGGCCAAGGGGGCCGGCCTGTGGCGGAGAGAACGCGCGTCAGACGGCATTTTCCACGCGAGATGAGGCAGCGCCTAGTCGGGTCGCTCGCCGGGAAAACGTTCCCTTGTTTCCGCCCGCTGTGCCATACCTCGTGATTTGGCTGCCATTCGCCTTGGACCTCTGGATTCAGCTCCACCAGCAGCTCCGCGCAGCACTGTGCCCTGGGTTTCCCTATCGAGTCCTCGTCTAGGAAGAAGTTGACTCCCAGATCGGCCTCGCAGACTGTAGCCTCGTCGAAGATGGTGAAGCGTCCGATGCCTGGTGCCGTTCAAGGAGACGCCGTTAGCCCCCAGGCCAGCCAAACAGGACGCCGCCAGGATGGACTTACCCGGCAGCACCAGATTCTTAAGCGTCTCGACGCCAACGGTGCCGCTACCCGAGTTCACCAGCAGCAGGTTCGCCGACTCGAGCGCCGCCTGGCCGCTGGCCGCCCACAGGCGCAGCTGCCTGTCGTACTTCTTTTCCTTTTCCGACGGTCGATGGAGGGCCGGTGGGGTCTGGCCGGCCACGACTTCCGTCATGGTGAAATAAAATGAATCGGCAGGTCTGGACGCTTGGACACGGCGGGTATATCGAGGGGCGAAAAGCAGGCCGAGGCGGAGGTCGAGAATGAGGGGAGGCCTTGCGACAGACGTGTCGGGAATCGCGCTTCTCAGCTGCAGCTCAGCTTTCCCGTTGAGCCTGCCTGATGGCAGTCGCAGTGGCTGTTGGTGGCTGGAGGGGTCTTGCCTGGGACGGGCGCCGGCGAGTTGCAACCCCCACACGTCTCCAGATTTGGGCTTGTGCACGGACCATCTGTGCACACGTTGCATCCTGTTTGGTCCTTCCCAACATGGCGCTGGAGGTCCCAACTGCCAGGCGCTGCTTCCTCGCAGAACAACAGCCCGGCGACGACGCCATGCGTTGGAAGTGCGCGCAGACTCGAGCTGGGCAGAGAATCTAGACTTGCATCAATCCAAACAACGTTGGCTGAAAATGGCGTGTCTAGCGTCGCCGCAATCAACCAAGTGACCAACTTCGTGATCAATTGTTCAACGACTTACACGCCCCCTGGCTGTGCTAGCTTTCCCTTCTCGCCACCTCCTCGCACGCAATCTCAACGCGCAGCACCGCCAGCCCGCTATGGAGTCTACCCTCAAGTGCAACGCGCCGGCATGCAGAATCGACCTTGAGGGCAGAGCCCTTGTCACCAGCTGCCTGTAGGTCCAAGAACGGCCCCCGACTTCCTCTGCGTCAGTAGCTGACCGAGTGCTTCGTGTTGGCCCACAGCCATGTCTTTTGCCTGGGCTGCGCCCAAGGCTGCGGCCTGTGGACACAAGAAAACCAGCATATTGGGCCATGCCCAGCTTGTCGGGCTACTCCGGAACTTGTCAGCGTCGTCAACCTCAAGCCGACCGACGACGACAAGGCCATCCTTCTCAGAGGCCTGAGCCCAGCTGCCATGATTGACTGCGTCACATCGGCCCTCTACTTCTGGGAGTACCAGATGGCGCAGGAAACGTTCGGCATAGTCATGTCCCGCCCAGTTGTCTGTAGAGATCCGTCACTAAGTTTTAGCCCAGAGCCTACCATCGCTACATGTCGGAACGCTTGTATGACAGGTGCACGGAGTCCAGAGACGAGCTGGAGGAGGTTACGAGGGAAAAGGACCGAGAAATACAAAGGCTTTTCGAGAGCCTCAAAGGTAGGCCCATCCATCCGCTTCCGTGCAAAATGCAAAAGCTAAACGCCATGGCAGCCATGACAGCGGAACGAGACAGCGTGCGGCAAAAGAGCGAAGGGCTAGCGACCATGCTCAAGGAGAAAACCAAGAAGCTTATGCAGTCGCAAGAGCTCTATGCTGGACTCAAACGAAGGGCAAGGCTCGACCAGCTTCATGACGCTGCTAGCGAGGCTGCGGACTTGGGTCTCGACCGCGCTGCTGTCACCGGCCCGGCTCCGCTGGCAAGCCGCACGTTGTCTGCCTTTTACCCCAAGCAGACAGAGCCAGGCTACCACAATGCTGGACGCCGCGAGAACAGATCACACCCGTCCATGCACCCGGGCCTTTGCAAAGTTTCGCCCCGGCACCTCGGTGTCCCTCAGTTCAGTGACCAACCGCCCAGGCGCACTCAAGGTTGGTCGCCCCCTTGGTCTTTTTCCAGTATCTATAGATACTCACAACCTGATAGGACTTGCCGCGACCCCTATGGACCGCACTACTATGAATGACAGGTCTGGTATCGGATTTTCTGCTGTGCCAGCTTTCACGGGCAGTAGCTCCCAGCTTCACAATAGTGGGCAACGGTTCGATGATTCCCGCGGCTTTACCCATCATGCTCCCTCCGGAATCGGCGCCGGCTACGGACTCAACAACCAGAGGCCCGGAGGCCAGGTAAGGGGAAGTATCGCAGTCTCAAATCTAGGGCCCAGGCGTGAGTGTCACCCTAGCTCTCTTCATTGTTTGCTATGTCAAGTTGCCCGCTGACCAGATGCAAGTTGCACAACACCATACAGCACCTGTCTTTGCTCCATAATCGCTCGATATAGACCACGGTGAAGGTTCGGAGTGTGAAGGGCACCGGACCTGACATCGCAGTGGGAAAGGATTGCCAAGTTACCACATACAAGACCTCGCAGTTGATGAGGATTCTCCAGTCGCTACACGAACAATTTCAGATTATTCGCTCTACCTGCCGATCTCATGGTGGATAAGGAATAAGCTAGCTCAATTTCATTAGCTATCCCATTAGCTATCTCAATGCCATTAGCTTGCTCCATGTTCGATTCCCCATTGTTCATGTCAATCCGGTTGTCGGGTCGAGCTACGTGGACAAGATACGAACACAAAGCGTCGAGACCATCCACAAAGACTCAAGTTTTAGCACAATGGTGGCTGCCCACTAGTTACGGAACCTGCCAATCCCTCAAAACCCAAGACCTCCTCTCGCTGGTATAAATTCTGACGCTGATCTACTGCCGAGGCTAGCTTCCTGCCGGAATTCCTATCAGCTTTGCAGCCAAACTCACCATCTACCGGAGCCCCATCACCTTTTCAGCCGCGTTCATCTGTCATTGCATCCAGCCAGCAGAATGAAGCTGACGAAAATTCAAGGGGTTGAAGGTGCTGAGCACGCAGGACAGCGCCAGCGGTGCTTGCAAAAATTCCGGCAGTGGTGGTACGATACCGAGTCTACTAACTCTTCAAGTCCCTCGGTGTCACTTGGTGATATGCCGTCGCCCGGCCCTTTCGCCATGGCTGGCGCCAAGCTGCTCCACAGCGAGCCTTATCCTCCAAGCAACGCCGCCATCGATTCGGCTTCAGACGCTGACGTCGGTTCGCCTCCCTCAGAGACCCCCGCCGCCGTCAATCCGTCCAAGCGCCACGGCATGGTGTTTAGCCCCGAGACGAAGGCCCGGCTGAGCGAATTGGTTGACGGATACCAACCGACCGAGTCTGTCGAGCCCGAGTGCGACGCCGAGCCTGTCGCGCCCGAGTGCGACGCCGAGACACTCAAGTGGCAACAACGGGGCCTGGATCCCAACTTCAGGGCTAACGTAGAACACAACGCAAGGTACTTGCGGCACTTCCAGGAGCTCGTTGGCCAACTGCAGCAGACTATGGAGGCCCTCAAGCAAGATTATGAAAGCCTCAGGCAAGATTATGGGAATCTCGAGTATATCTCCGCCGAGCACGTCCGAAACGCTGCGGCCCTGGAGCAAAACTACAGGAAGATCATGCTAGAACTGGCGAATTCCCTGCTAGAATGCGATCGGCTGAGACGAGAGAACGAAGAGATGAGGCGCGAGGCTGCGAGGCCGCCGCGCAACAGCCATGCCTCAGACCTGGCTGATGAATCGACAAGATTAATACACACTGACGGGGCCAGCCCCCCTGGAACAGTTTCGAGCAGAGGAGCAGGGCTCCTCCCAACAAGGAGCATTGGCCCCCCAAGCCACTCGGGAAGTGGGGAGGTAGGTGATAGTAAGTACGGCTCCAGACGCCTCAGACGTGACGCGCGCGTCGTCGCGAGGGCGGGCTGAGTTGTTTGTGCTAGATGAGAAGCGGGCGAGTTTGCACGGCGCATGGCCATGCCTGCTAACGCCCAGCAAACTTTGTGCCCTCATGTCATTCCCCGTGTGTCTTGAATGTTGAGTGCACTCTGTGACTATGATATGATTGTGCAAAGTCCCTGTCCTAACGCCCTCGCCTTGAGGAGGGTATTTGTTCAATCCACACGCCCGAAACAGCGGGTAAGGAGAATCCAAAAAGAAAAAGCAAAAGGCGACCCCCAGCCGACAGACGCCGTGCGGGATGTCGACGAGCGCGACAGCTGGTCTGCAAAAATCAAAAGTGCGGATTAAGCCATGGCCAGGGTTCGAACCTGGGTTCTCAGGAACCGAAAGAAATCGATCAAAACCTGATGTGCTTACCACTACACTACCGCGGCTGTGCATATCGCGTTTCTGTGGAGTGGCTATGACTTTCGGGCCCTCGATGACGTCACCAACACTGGTCCACACTAGCTGTACAAATAGCCAATTTATCCAATAAAAGCCTGCACAGGAAACGGGATAGAAAAAAAAGGGAAGGCAGTAGGGGTTACAATGGCATGTCAAAAGTACAGGTTTTATTCAGCTGCCATGTCAGGGTATCTCGCGTTGATCATTACCCCTAAAGCCTCGCTCCACTGCCAAGGACCCATCCCCTATTCCGTACCGAGGGCATCCAACAGCGAGAACCTGTTCCTTGCTTTGGCGGCGGGCGGGTTCGAGGCCGAGCCTTTTCCTTGCTCCGCCTGCGCTTGCCGTTTCCTCTGCTTCTTGGCCGCCCGGGCTGGGTCGACACCGAATTTGATGGGCTTCTGAAGGTCGGCGAGGTCTCTCAGCAGCTCCAGACCACCCGCCTCCTTCAGCCTCCGCGGGAGGTCCCCGATGTCGTGGACTGAGCAATAGGCCGTGATCGGAGGCAGGTGATAGGAGAGAAAAGTCGACAGCTCCGCAAACGCGGGTGGCAGTGGGAGTCTGCTCTTGCCGTCGGCGTCTTTCCTCGCCGCCCTACTTGCGGTAAAGTCCAGCGCTTGCTTCAACATTCTTAGTGAGTATAAGGTCGCCTGCAGCTGCGAAACCAGGTGTAGCACATCCCAAGTGCCACAATCTCTAATTGCGCCGTCTGGGTCCGTGGCACGGCGGAGCATGTGCAGAACGAGCGATTTCTTGCCCGTGTCCCGCGATCGTTGTATTTCTTCGCGCATAGACAGCACCGTCCAGACCATGTCATCCGAGGAGGCCTCATCCTTCTCGTTCTGGTCCAGATGGTCGCGTATCTTGCCCATCAGCGCCATCAACTCCGTGCAGGACTCTGCAATGTCATCGTCAGAGCCGACAGGCAGCGAGACGCGTGTGCCGCTAGAGTCGGCCGTGGTCAATCGCCTGTATTCCCGCACTTCTGCCGGCACCGTCGCTGGCAGACCAATTTTCAAGATGCGGTAGGCCAGCTCCCTGATAGAGCAGCCCATCTCCCACGCGCTTGTGCGGGTCCAAGCATCGACTAGGGGAGGTAGGAATATGAGCAGCGAATCGTCGTCACGCTCTGACCTGGAGGTCACGGCCAAGTTGGCGCTGTTGCTCTCAGGGGAGCCCAGATTGAGGCACTGTACTGCGAGTTCTGCAAGCCTGGAGTCCATGCCGTAAAGCTCTGCCAGCGCAATGGCCGTGTTGAAGCTAGAATCCAGAGGGCAGAGACGGTACTGCTCCATAAAAGTCGAATAGGCACCAGGAGACTCCTTGATAGCCGCGGCCTGCCTTGCCTTTTCCAGCAACTTGCCCTCGGCAAGGAAGGAATCCAGGTGCAGCTCAAACGCCAGGGCTGAAAGGCCATAGTTTGGAGCAAGACCTAGCCTCTTGGCTACTTTGGTGGGCGAGTAGGAGAGGGCGTGCAAGCCATCGGGCCCGGTGATATGACCGCTCAGGTCAAGATCCCTCAGGAACACCACGCTCCCTCCCTTTCCGAGGTCGAAGACAAGCAGGTCAGAATCCGATGTCAGGACGACGCCGCCGTGGGTGCGGACCGAGTCTGCGCAGTAGCAGTCGGCCTCCTCGGGCACTAGCTGGGTCAAGCCGCCATAGCGGTCTGACTGGCGGAGCGCGTCGCAGATGGCCTGGACGGCGAGCGGAGGCACAGGCAACGTCACAGCGGTCGATTGTGCAGGCTTTGACGATCTAGAGAAAAGTCGCCTCGGATCGACGGGGCCCGCCCTGTGTGCCGCCTCTGCAACTCCGTGTGGCGTCGCCAGGAAGAAATTATTCAGCTTGCGCGAGACCTTGAGAGATCGTTGTAGCCGTTCGGCGACTTTATGGCGTGGGAGGTGGCCGTCGAAATAGATGGCAGCCACCTTGGGACCTTGGCTCTCCAGCTCGTCAAGCCAGGCGACGGCGGCGCTACCCAGCAGCTGATACGAGGGCTGAGCGAAGGGACTGGTGGGGCCATGTTTTGGGGAGCACAGGCCGATGATGTGGTAGGCAAGGGCCGGCCCGTCGATCACCACCCGACTGTCGGCACCCAGGACGCGAGGCTCTCCATATGGGCTGAGAGTGGTGGTCAAGTGGCGGATGCCCATCGTGTGTGCTTGTCTAGGCGTTGGCTGTTGCGCAGCGTGGACATGCGTGTCGGGCTTGCCTGATGAAAAGCCCCAGCAGGGATCGCACCTGGCCAAAAAGCATATTCAGGCGTGTTAGCTGAGGCAGGGACCTTGTCCTAACAGGCAAACGCCGCACGTGTTTGGTGGGGTCACATGCTCGTCGAAGTGAACGAAGACTGGGTCCCGACGAAATCTTCGCGCAGAAATCCTTGCACCATTTCTCGCCTGGAATGAAAAGAGGGCCCTTGTCGGCTGGTCCGAGCATAGATAAAAAGCTCTTTTCTCGCAACCCCTCCCGAAAAATTCGCCAGGCTCTTCCACTTCCTTCACCATGCGCAACACTCTCATCTTCTCGGGCACGTCGTGTCCGGACCTGAGCAGGCGAATATGTGAGAGCCTGGGCATGGCTCCGGCCTCGGCCGAGCTCACCCAATTCTCAAATGTCGGTGGCCATTGGATCCCAGCATGATTGATGGCTGCGTGGCTGCTGCGCCTGAGGACCGTCGAGCTGACCTGGACCGGCCGTGCCCAACCACCACAGGGCGAAACCAGCGTCCGCATCCTGACGAGCACCCGTGACAAGGACGTCTTTGTCGTCCAGTCGGGCAGTCCCAGGATCAACGATACCATCATGGAGCTGCTGATCATGATCTCGGCCTGCAAGGGCGGCTCGGCGAGCAAGATCACCGGTATGCCCGCTCGACGCATGCAGACGTGCACCAGACCCCTCGAGCTAACCATTGGCCCCTCCCGTCGCTCCCAGCCGTCCTGCCGTACTTCCCCTACAACCGCCAGTCCAAGAAGAAGTCTCACCGCGGCGCCATCACGGCCAGGATGCTCGCCAACCTGCTGCACGTGGCTGGAGTTAAGCACGTCATCACGGTCGATCTGCACGCCTCGCAGATGCAGGGCTTCTTCCAGTGCCCGGTCGACAACCTGCACGCCGAGCCGCTCATCGCACGCTGGATCCGGCTGAACGTGCCCAACTGGAAGGAGGCCGTCGTCGTCTCCAAGAACGCTGGAGGCACCAAGCGAGTCACGTCCCTAGCCGACGCTCTCAAGTTGAACTTCGGCATGGTGACGACGGACAAGAAGCGAGGCCACAGTATGACGGCGAGCATGATCCTGAACCACATGGACGACCCGGAGATGATGGCAGCGATGCTCGAGGCTCGTGGTCGAACCCTGAGGGGCCAGGCCCCGGAGGGTGAAGCTGCAAAACAGCAGATTGAGAAGAAGCAAGAGTCCAGGTCTCGTGTGGTGGCTGATTCAAGCGGATCGCCTAGGAGGGCCTCCCTGAGGACATCCAACGCAAACACAAATCGGCGGTCGTCGCGGACAACGCCGCGGCCTTCGGTGGACGCTAGTGTGGACTCTGCCACGGCTCCAGCTGTCGAGGCTACCGGCGATGTTGCCGACGACGAGGCCGACCAGTTCAACGATGACCCCTCGGACGAGGTCACGCACGCGCGCCTAGTCCAGGGGCACATCGTGCCGGACGACTTTCCGTCGCCAGCGACATCTGCGGCAGATACCAGCCTGCCAGAAGACGATCCCATGATGATGTCCCACGCCTCCTCGTTTTTCCAGCCCGATAACCACGCGCTGGGCGGGCCAGGCGACGCTGGCAGCTCTGACGAGGAAGAGGATAAGCTTAAGGACCCCAAGATCGAGCACATGATCACCCTCGTCGGCAACGTGCGGAACCGCACCGTCTTCATCGTCGACGACATGATGGACAAGCCGGGCAGCTGGATCGCCGCCGCCGAGACTGTGGTCAAGAGAGGCGGCGCTGAGAAGGTGTACTGCATCGCGACCCACGGCGTCTTTGGTGCTGACTGCCTCGAGCAGCTAGAGGCATGCGATTGCATCCACCGCATAGTCGTCACGGACAGCTACCCGATCCGCCCCGACAAGGCCAGCCGCGCGAAGAAGCTCGTGGTTCTCGACCTGTCTCAGCTTCTGGCCGAGGCCATCAGGCGGAACCACCACGGCGAGTCCATCTCGCCTCTCTTCCAGCACATTCTCGACTGAAGGGCGTTCTATAGCCCTTCAGAGATTCCTTGCACCCGAGTTTTGGCGAGCTCTTTTCATCTTTACCCAACCACCACAGCGGTATGTGAATCGACGACTCTCTGTTGACTCGGCTTTTTTGTGACGATGTACGACTTTGGCGAAGGTATGCGTTTTACTTGCTTTCAAAGCTTGGCGTCTATGGGTAATGCAGGTGTTTCCTTTTCAAAGGGGAGGACGGTTGGGTCGTCACCAAAACACCATGAGCTAGACTGTCGACCAATCATGCGGATAGCATTTTCTTGTTTTGTCATTCTCAGACACATCCCTAGCGTTGGCCGGGCTGTTGCATCGGATGGCCTGGTTTCCTATTCTTTAATACCCTGCAAGGGGCTCACCAACGATGCTGCCTTCTGGGCAGCAGGGGCTTCATTCAACCCAGAAGAAGTACCTAACGGAGCGTTGGAAGAACAAATGGCCCCCTTCCTGGGGCCTCTCGATTAGCAGAAGGCCTGCTGCTCGGACCCGTCCTCGGACGGTGCATCCTCTTCCTCACGGTCGATGGGCAGCGCGCAAGATAACTTTTCGAACATGTCATGGAATTCAGTCATGCACGAGTCCTAAGTGATTAATATCTCTTTCTCGTGCTCTCGATATCTACTTTGAATAATCTATCTTGGAGGCTGCTCCGGGGTGGCCAGTGCCATCATGACTGGAAGCCACCAACATGTCGGTTACGAAAAAGCCTCAAGCGTGCGGCCCAACTCTATCCGGTTAGTTCCACGAGTTGCCATGGCTCGAATTCTAAAAAAACTGAAACATGTTCCTTTTCTCTGAAACTTTCTCCTCTTCAAAAACCTCTGCATTTTCTCTCCCAAAAATGTCTTCTTCAATGATTCCCTTCTGCACGTTCCTACGGCAAAGTCTGGCCTACGCGGTCCAGTTGCCAGTGCCACCTGTAATCACGGCGTCAAGAAGTCGGTCTACCTCGCTCTTGGTACTGCCCATGTTGTGGTCGACGTGCAGGGCCGGTGGCACGCGCTTGCCCAGGGCGCAGAAGGAGACGTCCAGGCGCCAGGCGTGGGAGGTGCCGTCGCCCCAGCGCCTCGAATCGCCGAACTTATAATTGCAGGTCAGGGCGCGCGACGGCCGCGGGCAGCGGAACTCGGCGTCGTCGTGCCGGTTCGGCACCATGGGCTGGTAGTGGTTCCTATCGACGAAGAGTAAAAAGACGTGGCGGCCGTTGTACGAGCCGCGCGTCGTCGTCTCGGTCACGATGGGGCCGCCGCCGCCGCCGCCGCCGCCACCGGCTTTGGTCTCCTGGTCCTCTTCAAGCGTGTAAAGCACCACGAATAGGCCGTACAGATCGGCCGTGACCTGCGTCATCCACGACGGCGTCCAACTGCCCGGCAGGTGCAGGAGCTGCCACATGTTTGCGACGAAGGGCTCGGCGATGCCCTCGGCGCTTGTGACAACCCAGCGGCGGTTGACGCGCGCGTAATCGGCGTGCCGCGGGTGGTCCTCGTTAATCAGCACCGATTCGACGAAGCGCAGGTGCTCGAGCTTGACGCGCGGGCCCCAATCGCGCCGCCCGTAAACGTGCATTGCCATGGCGTTCCAGTAGCAATTACCCTCGTCGTCCCGGTTCTGGCTACGCAGGAACTCGACAGGCTCGACCAGCGGGAACCCCCGCAGCAACGCCGCCTCGGCCGGCCGGTCCTCGACCCAGCGCCGCCGCTGCTTGGTCGCCTCGGCGGCTGCGGGGCTCTCGGCCTTGTGGCGGTGGTGGTCGTGGTCGTGGTCGTCCTCCTGGCCGTACAGCCGGTCCAGGCTGCCGTTCTTGGGGTGCACGAGCTCGCGCTGCTGCTTGGTTGTCGGCTTGGTCTTGAGGGCCGCCGATGCGCTCTTGGTGCTGCCGCTGGCGTCGCCCTCGCCGCCCGCGGCGGCGGCAACGATGCCTGCGTCGACGCGGAACTTCTCTATCAGGAGCCGGTCCGGCTGCCGGTTGCCAAGCGGGCTTTGGACCACTGTGCCAGGAATGGTGCCGGTGAAGTTGCTGCGATCCTGATACCGCATCAGTTTTTCCGAGTTGCCACTGTCGTTGAGTTCGTAAAAGGCCGCTCCGTCGAGCGGGGGCGGCCGCGGCTTCCTGGCGGCGCGGTCCTGCGCCCGCGTGGTGCGCCGGGGAGTCTCCGGAGCGGCGTCGAACCCTCCGGGAGCGTTGTCTTGAGCAGCCGAGGCTTGGCTCAGAGGTCGCGAGCCCGAAGCAGTGGCAGACGTTGTGCCGCCACCCATGCCCGTCGTCGGGTACGACGAAGGGGCCGAGCTGGCCGACTTGGGCGGGAGCGTCAGGTCGATGGCGACGGGCGCGGGCTGCGGGGACGGGGTCCGCTCCTCCAGCGAGATGGGGTTCTCGGCGCTAGCTCCGGCGCTAGTCCGTTGCTGCTGCTGCTGCTGCTGCTGCTGCTGCTGCTGCTGCTGCTGCTGCTGCTGCTGCTGCCTCGCCGGGCCCTGCGGCTTCCACTGCTGCTGCTGCTGATGCTGCTGCTGCTGGGGCGTGGCCAGGATGCCGCGCACACACACGACCGGGCCGATGAAAAGGGGCGCGTCCCGCTTGATGGTCTCGAGATCCAGCAGGAAGGCCTTGTAGGCAATCTTGCTGGCAAACTCTCTCTTCTTCTTCTCGTCGACCGGCGGCCTGTCTCCCGCGGGGGCGTGCTGTGCACCAGGGCCGGCGTTGAAGGGGGGAGGAGGCTGGTGGCGAGGGAGGCTAGGGCGCCGCTGCTCCTGCTTGCTCTTGGTGTGGGCGGTGGGTGCGTTGGGCGCGGTAGGCGGGGGCGGAGGAGTGGAGCTCACCCTCTCCCAGATGGTCTTGACGCTTGGCAGCTCGTCGTCACTGTCGCTATCGCTGTCGCTGTCGTCGTCGCCGTCGTCGTTGCTGTCGTCGTCGTCCTTGCCGCCGCGCGCAGTGGGGGAGGACGGAGGTGGCGTGGCGTGGCTGCCCGACGCCGCCGCCTCTGACACCCTGGCTTTCTTGAAGGCCGGCAGCGACGCCTGCGCGGGCTGCTGCGAATCGGCCGCGCGCTTGTTGGACCTGTTCCACGACTCCGGGCTGATCTCAACAAGCTCCAGGGGGCTCTCGCTGCGCCGCGCCTTCTTTTTGGGCGGCGGCGGCACCTCGACGAGGTCCTCCCAGGTGGCCTTGCGCTTGCCCTTGTCCCTGGCCTCGGTCTGGCTGGCGTCCGCCGTCTTGTTAGCGCCATCGGCTCTGCTGTCGGACAGCTCCGTCAACATAACGTCGTTCTCGGCAACAGCAGCAGCATCGGGAATGGCAGCAGCGACGGCGTTGCTCTCCAAGAAGCTCATGTTCGCTAGGTCAAGGACCATCATCCCGTCAGAGCCTGCTGGCTGGCTGGTCGTTGTGGCGCTGAAGAGAAAGTTGTCGCCCCCGGGGGCTGGCACATCAGCCATGTCGTCGTCGACCATGTTTTGCGCAAGCTCCTTGGCGGGCATCGATTCGAAAGAGTCGTTCAGCAGCTCATGCATCTTCAGAGAGCTCCGGGGCTGTGAGGCCTCGGCCATAGGAGTGTGATGGTCACCCATGAGAGTGCCTTGGAAAAAGGCGTCAAAGCCGTGGCCAAGCTGTGCCAGACCACCCATCTCGGTATCGACAACCTGGCCGTCGGGGGCGCCGCTCATCTGATGGCCCGACGGCTCCTGGTCTTGGACGGCCTGTAGCGCAACCGCAGCGAAGAGGGTACCTGCCGTCTCGGGGACCTGCTCCTTGTGAGCCGGCAGCGTGATGTTTTCGATGCTCATGACGGCCTTGACAGGAGACACGGTCTGCGATGCCATATCTGCAGCTCCAGCTGGACTCGCTCGCCAGCCCACGGGGACATCTTCACCGGCACCCTCTTCGGCCTCGGCAATGGTCGCCAGTCCAGTGGCTTCGACGAGGGTCGGGGAAGAACCGAACGCTTCCTCGGCCTCCTCGGTGAGCGAGCCAGCAGCCGGCTCTTGTGAAGGAGAGCCAATGTTTGCAGAGAGGTCAGTGGCCTCGGCGTCAGTCATCTCGCCCTCGCCTGCAAGAACACTCTGCGGCTCAATGTCGTCATTTTGGACCACGGTCTCGGCGGCATGGCTGTGCACAGCAGAGGCCGGGGGAAGAGCTTTGATGGCATCGCCTTTGGTATCCGCCTCGAGGCTGGCGGTGTGGGAGCCTGTCGCGGGAACAGGCTGGCCTTGGTCGTCGCTCTGCTGCTGGGATGCATCTGCTTGTGCCAGACGGGCAACCGCAGCAACCGCAAAAGCAACCAGAGACAGAGGCTGCTCTTGGAAGACATCGTCTTGGGCGTCATCGTCATGGGCCGTACCCTCTTGAGCGGTATCCTCTTGAACCGCATCCTCGTGAGTGGCATGTTCTTGGACGACATCTCGTTGGGCGGCACCCTTTTGGTCCGCAGACTCCTGGGTTGCATCATCTTGAACGACTTTCTCTTGGGCTGCATCTTCTTGAATGGCAGCCTCCACAGCCGCTGTGTAGGAGTCGAGTCCCGAAGCAACCTGCTCTTGAGTGGTGCTCTCTGCCATCTCTCCATCCACGCTGCCTTGGGCGCTGGCGGGGTGCTCTTCTTGGGCACCATGCTCTCGAGAAGCAGCCTCCACGCCAATAGCCTGGGCATCAGCAATATCCGGATTGAGCCGGACGGTGGGCTTTTGGTGATAGTAGTAGTGAATGCCGAATTGGTCGACGTAGACCTCGTGCCCGCCCAGGTTGCCGCTGGGGTAGGAAGCAAGGGCGTCGTCCCGATCCGACGCAGGCTTCTCGGCGGCCGACTCCAGAGCCTCGTTATCGGCCTCTGTGGGCTCGTAGCAAGACCAGAAGCCGTGCTTGCTCCAGAACACGTCGACCGAGACCTCCAGCTGCTGCGGTCCCTCGTTCTTGGCAAGCGCTTGCTCGTGGTAATGGTGGGTGTACTTCATCTGGTTGGCGAGGCTCGACCGCTTCCACACCTGGCCCGGCGCGTGCCCCACGGGCTGTTCGGTCTGGGGCTCATTGGCGGGAGCGGGAGGGAGACTCAAGATGGGCCAGGTCTTGTTGAGCACGCCGGGAGAAAGCGTAGCAACGTCTGGCGCGGATCTCGGCCGCGGGCCAGCAGCAGCCGAAGACTCCATTTCGGCGGCTTTTTCTGGTTCCAGCATGCCGAAGCAATTAAGTGGCGGGAGGAGGCGTAGATACGAACGGAAGAGACGTGAGGACGCGGCTACGAAAGTAGTACAGACCAGCTGAGAAGGAAGTAGATAGCAGATTTTGGTTGATATGCGGGGTTGCAACGCGGAAAAAGAAGATATCTTGAAGGTAGCGCTGTGTTGAGAGATTTGTGAGAGGGCGAAGTGCTTTGCAAGAACCCAAACGTGAAAAAACTAAAGTCGAGAAGAGAAGAGAAGATGGGAGGGTATCGGCAGAAGCAAAGGCGGCGAGGTGTCTGGGGCGGGGACCAAGGAGGCTGGGTTGCGTTCGATGCTATTGTGATTGTTATTATGCTTGTTCTTCAATAGGACCCGCCAGTGCGTATTGAGCAGTGATTCAATAGGAGACACGGACTGGGTGGTGTTGGGCTCGAGGCCAACCTGAAGCCGTCCTCACTTGCCCGTCAGTTTTGGCTCAGATATCCCAACGCCCACCATGCGGTGCCTCCTCTCCGATCTAACGCATCCTTATCTCTTTTGGGGGCTGCTAAAAATGAACTAACTACCTGCTCGTCAATCTTGCTATGAGGCGAGGGTGTTTGGCGGTGGCTGCTGGAACAGGTGGTTGGTTGCCGGATATCAGAGGCTATTTTGAGGCCGGTGGAACGGGTAAGACAACTCCACCCCAAGCTTGGGTTCCTGCAGTCAAGGCAGATCAGTGTGGTTTTCCACGAAGGTGAAGCACCCGCAAGTTCTTTGCTATCATCCCCCAAGGTTCCTCCCAGGCATGGAGGTTGTCAGAGTAGTAAAAAGCCTACGCCACAAATCACAACGACGAGAGATAGCTAGCACCACAAATGGAACCCTCATTCGTCTCCTTTCCGTCGTTTTTCTTCCCTTTCTGCTATTCTTCTTCCTTTCTGTTGTTCTTTCTATCCTTCTATCATCCTTTGTCGCACTTCCTGCGCAGTCTACGTTACATCGCAAAATGGGGGAGCGGAGAGACTATGCACCGAGGCCTGGAGAACTGGAAATAATAACAGGAATACGGGTTTTATTCTACAATAGGCAATAGCATGACTGGCGCGCCTGGTCAAGGGAGTCTTCTGTGTCATTAATCGTGACATCGTGCATGTTGCTTCAGTGAGCAACTACGTGACAAGAAACCAGATCAAAAGGGAATGTTTCGGCCGTGAATCTCGTCGAGGAGATCAACCAGCGCGTTCTTCTCTCTGCTGCGGTCCGCATCGACCGCGCTCTGGAGGAGCTCCTCCGTCAGTGACGTGCCCGTGGGCGAGGCTTTGCCCGCGCTCTTTATAATCCTCCAGGCGCGCCGGAACTCGTCGCGGATGCTGACAATGCCGTTGTGCGTCACGGTGCGTGCTACGTTGTGTTCCAGCTCGAACGGATCCTCGATAGCGAAGAGATAGCGGTGTCGTACCTCCTTCACCTCCGAGAATGGCCGCGGCGTAACAGCGGTGGGCGGGGGCGATGCGAGCGCGTCAGTCGACTGCCGCTGCGCCTGCGGGGTGCCGGGGAGAGGAGGAGAGGGCTCGCTAGTGGCCAAGACAGCTGGCACGGCCGAGGGTGTCTTGGGTTGACGCTCGATGGTCGTTTTGGCCCCCGTCCACCCTTTATCCTGCTTCATCCGTAGTCCGCCTGGAGTGCGTAGGCTGATAACCTCGCGGCCCCAGTCGAAGCCGCGGTAAGCGCTCGTGCTCATGGTGCCACTCTGGGCGTAGTACTCAAAGAAACCCCGGAGCAGGTGCCCAATCGATTCCTGGTTCTGGTTCAGCCGACCTTCGGCAGCCAGGCGCTTGATCTCTTCCTCATCGCGCCAAAACCTCACGTCCCGCCCCTTGCAGTTCTCTGTAGCTTCCTTCTCGGCAGGTGTCAGGTGAGGGTTTGTCGGCTTAGCCAGCTGTTGGAGATTCGGACAGACGAATGGCTGCGCAATGTTCACCAGGTAGTGCAGCATCATGAGCACGTAGCCGTAGCTGCTCAGCGTGCCCCTGTAGGCCGTGTTGATGCCACGCACCTTGGCCCAATGCTTGACAAAGAGCACCAAGGGACGGACGCGAGGGTCCGTGTGAGAGTAGCACCGAAGCAAGAGCGTGTTCTGAAGAGCCAGGTGGGCAGAGAAGTTGATGTCGCACTGAACCCCTGCCCCAGTTGGAGGGAACTCCAGGCGGTCATGGTATGGGTCGCGGGGCTGGTTCGGCGCAGTCATGGAGGGGTGCGGGAGCGACTTGATCTTGCGCATGACGGCCGTGTCCTCCTGCGTGATGGGCACCACAAAGTCAAAGTGGCGGTGCGAGGAATCTGACCGTTGCATCCGTCTCCGCAGAATGGCCATGTAGTCGGCCACTACGTCGCGGTCGTCTTCGTAGAGCCCCTTCTTGAGCGCCCGCTGGAACTCGAGGGCGAGCTGAAGGCTCCTGTGACGGCGCGCCGCGGCCCTCAGCGTGTCAACACCCTCCTCCTCCGCAAAGGCGATGACCTGTTCCCGGATGTCCTTGTCCCAGATTCCCGTGACATATTGGGCGATTGCTAGTGGCAGAACCATGTTTGTAGGAGAGGGCGTGTCGTGTGCCCCTAGCTGAGACAACAGCGCCGAAGTCCTGCCATGGTACTCGGATGGTGACTCGTACTGACCCTGCTTCAAGATATGCATCTGTATCGAGGGTATCCTCTTCAATAACGTGTCCACCGCCTGCTTAAGCTCTTTGGCGAAGCCCAGGGGATCCAGCCCGAACATGGCCCTGTTCTGGAGTTCGGTCCAGAACTTGAGCTTCGATGCGGCCTCCTTCTCCATGATTGCGTCCTTTTCCTGGATCTGGCGCTTCTCCCACGCCATGGCCAGCGCCTCGCCCTCGACCTGTGTGTGCATTCCGGCCAGCGTACGTGTGGTTGGGTAGTTGGCATCATCTCGGAGAGAGACCGAGACTGTTGCTTGCAGTCTGCGCACCAGCTCTGCGTCCGCCAGCCCCCGCACAAAGGCATGGGCCACATCGGTAACAATCTGGAGGTCTTGCTTCCCCAGGTTCCTCATGTTGGAATTTGTGATGTCGCTTCCACCCAGTCGCCTCAGTAGCCTCTTGGCAAGTCCATAGTATGCCGTGAGGGTTGAGTTGCCCGTCTGCTTAAGTTGCGCCAGCGCCCGCTCGTATGCCTCTGTACCGATCTCGATGGCCTTGGGCTTTTGGTCACCGCCTGCCTCACCGCCGTCGGTACCAGCGTCCGCTGGGCTCTGGGCAACGCCGTCGTCGCGGCCTTCTTCATTAGTCTCATCGTCCTCCAAGGCGGGATCCTCGTCTTCGCCTCTCTCCCACCGGCCTCTCTCTTCCAAAAGCGCCATCCTGAGTTTTTCGGGCGGCTTCTCGCACAGTTTTATGATGGGAACTCGCGTTCGGGTGAGCAGCCGTGCACCCAGTCCAGCCTCAAGAAACGCCTTCTCGATCAGCCGCGGGATCGGCGAGCCTGCATCGTCTGGTAGCGGATGTGAGAGTGGCGAAAGGAGCCCAAGGTCCATGTCGGAGGCCTTGGTTGCGAAGCCAGAAGAGAGACTCCCGAAGCACCTCAGCTGAACGCTGAGGGGCGAGAATTGCGTGTTTCCGTTATCGTTTGCCTCGAATTCAGAAATAGCGATACGGCAGATGTGCTCAATCGTGGCGCGGAAGCCCTCGTTCTTGGCAATCTCGTCGTACGAGATCTCGGCGCCCCTGATGATAGTGTCACACAGGCCGTTTAGCAACTCGGCCTGACTGGCTACATCATCTGGCTTGAACTGATACAGGCGCCCAAAGCCAGAGTTTCCAGGCCTGTTTCGGCCTTGGTAGCCATGCTCCTGGCTTGGCCTGTCGCCACCGAAGCTGGGCATCTGGTAGCTCCTCGGATGCTGCTCGCCATTGTGGCCACCTCGCTGGCCCCTCCATTGGCTATATTCACCCGTCGCCGCGAACCTGTCGTAGGGTGGAGAATACTGGCTACGCATCTGCGTGTAGTTTGGAGGGGATGCGGCCCCGTATAGGGCGCCGTGTCCGCCAGGCTGGCCATGTGGGTGCGAATTTTGGCGCTGCTCGAATGGGTGGCCGTTGGATAGCTGGTGCTGATGGTCGTTGGGCGAGAAGCCGGGGCTCTGCCGATGTTGGTAGTGGTACGACGTGCCCATGTGCTGTTGACTCTGATGGGACATCTGAGGGCGCGGGTCGATGGGGATGGACAGCTGGGCCGACATTTGTCTGCGCTGTGCCTGATTGGGGCGCTTTCTGGTGGGCTTTGAGGACTTCTGCGCCCCGATCTCCTCTCCTGGAGTCAATGAAGGTGGCTGTCTGTCAAGGCCAGGTGGGACGTCAAATGAGCGGGCGTTTGGGGGAGCGCCAAGTCCAGACCGTGGATCAGCAGATGGCACAATGTGCGGCGACGGTCCTAGGCCGTCGCCACTCCCCGTGTTGGAAAGGATCATGCCCCGTAGCTTGTTCTCCAGCCCGGCCGTCTGCTCCTGGAGGGGCTGCATCGTCACGGTGGAGGGCTGCGGAGAAGCGACCTGGAAAACGAGCCAGATGCTGAGTGCACGGCCGAAGTAGGAACCAGACAGTGTGAACCAGAAGGTCTAAGTAAAATGGAGAATGAGGAAGGAGAGATGACCACTGAGATGCATTTAGAACGGCCGATTGTGAGCCCAACGAGGCAAACTTTTGGTTGAGCAAGCAGTGTTGGAGGTGGTTGTGATACAGGCAGGTGATGGGCTGGTATGAAGGCGTCCTGGGATTTATATGGGCAACACAGGAGCGGGGCAGCAGCCGGCCGACACAGAGGAGGCAAGGAGGCACTCGAGGCAACCCGCACTTGTGGTGTTCGCCACTGTGTGCCTTGCTGCCGATTTCCAGGGCGGTTCCAGGGAGAGGTGTTGGGCCAGCCAAGTATCAGAGGCGCGTGTCGACACAACAGCGCCCTGCTCGCGTCCTAGTCCTGAGTTGGAGCTTCGGGCTGGAGTATTGAATTCCACCCCGCCCTGGGCTCGGATATTTGTCCCAAGAATGTGCCGAGCGCAATTTGCCCTTGCGTAACGAAGGCCCAGCGGCACTGCTGAAGACTGGCCCTGGAGTAAGAGATACGTTGTTCGTTGAGATATTAGGGCTGGCGCAATCGGAACAGATGAGGCGTGTGCATAGGACGAGGAGGCGATGTGGAGGTGATGGAATGCTTTGTTCGACCCCAGTCTCTTTTATCTGGACCTGGCCCAGAAACCCCAGCCTGCTCATCATTGGTCGCGCGATTGAGCTCCCAGCCGAGCGGGGTCGCCAAACGCAGCCACGGGCCAAAAATGAATCTGGGTAGGCACACTGCCACACACTGTGTACTCAGACGGCAAGCAGCCTCCACAAACAGCCAAAGTGGGTCCAGACCATCATTTTGAGCCAGAATTCCAGCCAACGTCTGGCTGCCTGCAACCAAGCCCTGCCTCCAAACCGCTGCACGCTGACCGAGCTCTTCAACGCTTCATGTTCCCTTGTCGCCACCCGCCCGGCATTGCGTCCGGCGCCGTCCCACGATAGACTGCTCTTCCTGCAGCCGCCCTCCCGCTCGCTACACTTTGTGATTTCCAAGACCGACATAGACTCATCGTGTATCGCGTTAGACATCGACACGCGTGTCCAGCCATTGCTCCACTGCATGGCAACCTCCATCTGAACCGACAGCGTCACCGCAGCCGCATCGCGAGCCTCTAGACCACCTCGCCCACCACCCACCACCATGAGCGCGCCTAGGTCAAACCCGCCCAACGGGCCGAATGCGAACGCGCCGAACCCCAATGCCCCGAACCCGGCCGCTCCCAACGCCGCCCAGAATGCCGCGGCAATGCGCATTCCCGCTAGCCTGCGCAGACGCACGGCGGCCGCGTCGAATCCTCTCGTGGGCCGGCGTAAACACGATCCCTCCAAGACCATGAACCGCCCCGCCTCGACACAGCGCCCGTCCAGCACAGCCTATGTCAAGGCCACGCCCAAGGACCCCCTCATCGCCCTCAAGGAGCAGAACGAGAAACGCCTCAAGGACTTCGAGGCTCAGCGCAAAAAGAACGGCGGTTGGACCAACCCACCGCCACAAGGCGAATTCATGGACTACCCGCTTGTTATTAGCAAGCGCGCCCTGGATGATGACACTCTCTTCCACGTCATGCGCTTCTCCCACACCAAAGGTGGACAAATCGACCATACCGTGGACCCGACTGACCCGAACGACTTCACCCGTCCCGTCGTCCTCCACCGCCGCGACGCGCAACAGCCGGCTGCAGCTCGCGAGGTCAAGGATGAGGCTGCGGTTGAGGAGGAGCCAGCGAAGCCAACGATGGACGAGAAGGAAGCCGAGCGCCTGGAGAAGCTCAAGGCCGAGAAGGAAGCGCAGCGCCAAGAGGACCTGGCCAAGATCGCGCCGGGGGTGAAGACGGCCAACGCAGAGCCGGCGCAAAAGAAGACTCAGAAGAAGGAGAAGCCGTTCAACGCTCACTTTCACACCAAAAAGACAGCCGACCCCAAGGCGGGGCAGCTCAGATACGCAGAGGCCCTCCCTTGGCACATTGAGGACGCTGATGGCAAGAATGTCTGGTTCGGCCAGTACGTGGCTCCGCTGTCCCGTGCGAACGTGGGCCTGGTCATTAGCGGGCAAGGATTCAAGATGATACCGCTGGAGAAGTACTACCGCTTCATCGCCAAGCCCGCCTTCAAGGGGTTCAGCCTTGAGGAGGCCGAGGCCCAGATGAAGCAGAAACTAAAGATGCCTATCTGGGCCGAGAAGGGGGAGTCTAAGGAGGCAAAGGCAGAGCTGGCCGCCACTCGTCGTTGGATGGGCGGCGGCTCCATGGTCAAGCAGGAGAGCAGCACCTACAGGGCCGCCCCGCGGTCCGAGAAGGTTGACCATGACGACGTCGACATGTCGGGCGACGAGTTCCAGGACGATGATGAGGCCCCCACCATGGAGCGCGATAATGACGAGGATGCCAAGGATGCGCGAGAGCGTCAGCGTCGAGATCACATGGGCGCCAACCTGTTCGGTGAGGCCGACGAGAAGGAGGTGGACGAGGAGGAGACTGCCAAGATGCTAGAGGATGCCGTACGAAAGATGCACGGCAAGAAAGTCCGCAAGGCTCTCACGCGTCACGAGAAGCACCTGGAGTACCAGAGCGACTCGGACAGCAACCCATACGCATCTTCGAGTGTAAGTTGCGACCCTTGGCGTGCCCCTACAAGCACATGGACAAAAACACGTTTCACTTGGATTCCGAAGCTAACACCTCTGACAGGACGAGGAGGAGGAGAAGCCGGACGAGGAAAAGAAGGACGAGGCCAATGGTAAGGATGGCGAGAAGGAAAAGGAGAGTGAGACCAAAGATTCCAAGGACCCCAAGGATGCCAAAGACAAGAAGGCCGCAGCCAAGGGGAGTGGCGCGGCGGGCAAATCCAAGGCGGACGCGACGAAGGGACCCAAGTCGCTTAAGCGGCCTGGATCTCCCAACCTGTCCGAGTCGAGTGGAAACGAGTCGACGCGGAAGAAGGCCAAGAAGACGGCCACCTCATCGGTCCAGCCCAGCCGCTCAGGCACGCCCCTTCCCCAGCGCACCAAGGTCAAGCCGGCAGGTAGCGCCACCAGCGACGGGGAGGCGACGGGCGGAGAGATGTCTGACGGTGGACTCAAGAAAAAGAAGCTCTCCAAGCTGGGTGGGACGGGCACTCCCGGGGGCTCGAGGGCCGGAAGCCCAGTCCCGTCGCAGGGACCGGTTGGCTCTTGTAAGTTTGCGCCTTGCATGGTCCCAGGGCCACTGCCGCTGCCGTCTTTTGGCGCAAAAGTTTGCTGACAATATCCTGCCCGTCAAAAGCATCCGCTGGCGTCTCCCCGAAGAAGGGGACCCCAGTGCCCGATGGTCCCGGGCAAATCATTACCCGTGAGGAGCTGCTGGCCGCGCTCGAGGCCAACCCCAATGGCATTAGTATTGGTGACCTTCTGAAGCGGTACTTTAGCGACCGCGTCGGCGATGGCGAAAACAAGCTCCAGAAGAACAAGTTCATCTCGTTGGTGACCAGAAACTCCATCTTCAGAAAGGCCGACAAGCTGCTGCTTCCAAAGCCCAAGAAGGAGGCCTCCTAGACTGCCCTCCAGGGGGCTGCTCGGCGACAGACGGGGAATTTGCTAGGACCTTACTACAGTTAACGGCGTTGGTATGGATAAACGTCGTTCACACATGGACGGCATACTCAAAACGTGCACTGAGCAGACGAGGGCACCAAAACACCGAGCACGTGTGAGCGTGTACGAATAGATGCTTGTGATTTTCTCAAATAGGGGTATATAGGTTATTATCGCGCCCCTCGGCGACGCTCGCACTATTTTCAGTCCTCGTCCATCTGCCACGAATACTCCAAGCCCTTGTTGCGTTCGCGACGGTTGAGCGCCTTGAAGCGCTCGACCTCGAACCCGTTGCCGCGGTCCACGCCGTCCCAGCGGTACCCAGGCCGTATGCCGTATCTGTTTGGCGCCGCAGGCCCCTGGTAGACGGGTCTGCCCTTGTTCCTACTCGAGGCGCCCGACTTGCCGCCCGACGCAGCGCCGCCGCCGCCCCTGTCCTTGTCGGCCATGAACTGCATCATGGGGTCGTTCCAGCGCTGCTGGGCCTTGAGCTCGCCGTTCATCTCGGCGTCGTCCTTGCCGCGCGCCAGCGGCATGAGGGCCGCGTCCTCGAGCGCCTCACGCCGCATGCGCGCCTGCTCCAGCTGCACCTCGCCCTTGAGCGCCTCCTTGGCCGCGCGCGCCTTGTCCTCGTCGGCCCGCCGCTTCTGCTCGCGCTGCAGCGCCACGTCGATGCGCCGGCCCGTCGCGTCGCGGAACACCGTCTCCTCCTCGCCGCTGCTGTCGCCCCCGCCGGTATTGCCGCCGCGGGCCGCCCGCCGCGCCGCCCGCCTCTCCGCCCGCTCCGCCTCGTACTGCGCCTTCTCCTCGGCCCGCCGCGCCGCCAGCTGCGCCGACACAGCCGCCGCCGTCTGCAGGCCCGCGTGCGTGCCGTCGCTCATCTTTAGTGCCGCCGTCGCCTGTACGCCGCCCTCGACGACGGGCGCCTCGTCGTCGTCCGCGCGCCGGGCCGCGGCCTCGGCGGCCGCCTCGGCCAGGACGGCGTCTGCTGCTGCGGCCTCATCTGGCGCCGTTGAGGGTTTGCTGCCGCCGCCCAGCGTCTTCCAGCCGGACTTGGCGGCCTTCTTGAACTCGGCCGACGTGCCGGCCACGGCGGCGCCGAGGTGGGGTTGCTGGTCGTCTGCGGCGCCGGCGCGGCGGGAGGTGCCCCATGCCGACTCGTCGTCGTCGTCCTTGATGAGGAGGCCGTCCTTCTTGCCGCCGTCGCCGTGCTTTCTCTTGCGCTTCTTTGTCGGCTTCGGGTCGGCTGTGAGGTAGTGCTCAGCCAGGTAGGCGGCCAGGTCGGAGGGCATCCTTGTTGGCTGCTGGGGGTGGGTGTGACGGATGTCGTTATTTCTTGGGGCGATGCGGGCCTTTTTTTGATGGAGCGTAGGTGGCACTGTCGAGCGTAGTTTGCATCTGTAGTTTAGGACATGTGGCTGGTTTTGCGCGGAGATACCGTTCGTCTTGGTTTCGGAGCAGTGTGCATCAGCCTCGCGTCGTCGCGATGCTTGTGCCAAACTAACGAGAAGCGTAATCACGTGGCGATAAGACTATTATCGACAACTCCATGATCCTACGACATCACACCCCATGTCAGAGAGTTTCTGTGGAGGTGCTTGGCGTGTTCTGGCACGTGCGCGAGCACGTGACAGCGCCCGAGGTGACGATAAATCGATTTCATTTCATCACATCCCATGTCTGCCGAAGCCGACCTACCCAGGATGGCACAGGAGATTTCCCAAATATTGCCACGCCGATATCTTACCCTTGGGCTAGCCGCACCAGGAACGGCATACATGGTCGAGTGTTGTGTTGCTGGGGTTTCCAGGCTGGCACTGGCATGTGGCCGTTCACGCGACCGTTTTCAGGAGCCGTGATTGGGAGAGGCGTCATTGTTTCCGTTTGTCATTCGCCGCTTGCACCGCATTCTCACCAAGCGCCGGGAATACGCCGTCGGCTGTCCTTGATGACGCGCATTTCAAATCATGGGCATGACCTGTTACCGTGGATTGTGTCCATTGTGGATGGGTGTATTCACAATTGCGAGTGTTGAGAGGCGAATGCTTGCCAAGTGTAAGTAAGTCGGGCGAACTATGTCCCTCCCTATGCACAGAATGACGCCCGTAACCTTATTTGACTGGTATCAATAGCGATCCACAACCTCAGCACCAAATTAGCTCTCCGAGAACGCAAGGCTTGATTTTGTTGCCAAATTGGGAGCAGCCAGTTCATTGGATCCTTCCAAGGCGCAGCGAGGAGTGTTATTATAATATTACTATGCAAACCAGCCGCAGCGTCCGCAGAAACAAGTGCCCGTTTCCGTTATGGAACTCGGGCGCAACGGGTGTTTTAGGTTCTACCGAGTGTTGTGGAAGCCAATGTCCTGTTGGCGTGGCTTTGAAACTCGCATACCGCGGTTTCGACAAAACGAATGCTTGCACAGTGCTGGATTGGAAGTGCAGCCCAGGGTTCCAGTTTTGGTTCGCATAGCAAATTACAGCACGCATGAGCTGCCGGTTTGCTGCACGCTTTGGTGGTTATGGCTGAGGCAACAAAAAGGCTTGCCCTAGCAAGACCGAAAGAACACAAAGCACTTGAGATACCTGCCCGAGCAACTAGAGCCCCGAGGGATAGCCCCGATCGTTTTCGTGTTCTGTCACATCCCGATGGCGCACAGAGTGGTAGCAAAGGCGGGGTTCCGACTGGACGTTGGATCTCTCGTGCTGAGTGTGCTTTGGTTGTATGTGATGACTTGCAGAGAGGTATCTGGGCCCGCACAACGGTGGAATAACCAGGCCAACTTGGAGGTCTCCGTCTCCTTTGCTGTTGGGACCAGGCGTTTTGGGTAGTACGCCCACCACAAAAAAAAACGACAGTCTTACAGGAGGTCCCAAAGATTGAATGAAGTTGTTAGTGCCGTAAGCTTTCCTATTCTTATTTCTTCCGCACCTATTCCTGTTCCTATTCCTCGAAGGAACTGCCGTTTTTTGTGGTAGACGTGGGTAGGCATAAAGCGTGGCAACCGCCTGCAAGATGGCACGCAACAGGTAACACAATTGAGCTCCAGACATGCACTGTGCCCGCGCCTTGCTTCTTTGAGCTGGGGTTGGCCGCGTGATACTGAAAGCGAGGAAACCCCTTGGCCCGGCCTGCTCTTGCTTTGTGCTGGCCAACAGGCAGCGCTGATGACGAAATCGCTCCCAGGCTGCACCACTTTCGTCCTGACAAATGGGATGGCGCGAACGGTAGCACGGGCCCGCGTCCCTGGCATCTGTTTGGAACATGCATTTGTATCTGGAACCCGGATGGGCGCAATCCCATTTGGCAACTCCGTCTCGTCGCTTTCGTCAGCGTCATCGTCCAGCTCCGCCAATCAGAGCCAGCGAGTGGGCTAAGAAAAGACAAAAGCGAAAGACCTCTCGGCGGCTGGCCGCGGGCAGTGCCACGACGCCTTCTTCCTGCGCTGCTGATTGCGAAGCGCCGTCTACCCTGATTTTGCGACCAGGTTGGCTCCCTGATTGTCCCGATACGGCAATCTCTAAGCGCAATCAGCGAGGGCCGCGCCAGGCTCTTCCTTGACCTGACCTGTGCTGTCCGGCTTGCCTGCTTCAAGTTAGGCTCCATCCCACACCCACCACCCACCACCCTCCACCCCCGCCTGCCTTCCCCAGGTCACACACACTCTCCCGTCCGCCCGACCTGCACATCACACACGCCCCCCATGTCACACCCACCCACGCCGCGATGGAAAAACATTGTACGACAAGGCAGCCATCACCAGGCACACCAACCCGCGCCTTGCTACCAAGTCCGTCATCGTCACGCACACCCCGCAAGCCTTATCGCCGTCATCCCGACGCGTGCGCGCGCGCGCCTCCAGGAAAATGGGTCCCGGCGTGGGTGAGCGACTGGACGAGGAGGGGTGCGGACCTGTTGGTCCTATGATAAGGTGAAAGGGTGTTGCGGGTAGTAGGCCTGCGCTCTCCAAGGCCCCCGTCGGCATCATGCTCACATTGTCGGGAGGGAAAGGGATTGGTTGGTTGGCTGACTGGCTGTGCCGACGCACCCCGAGGTCCGGTGCTCAGTGGAGGCTGCGCGGGAATCCCGGGAGGCCTTCCCAGCTATGCCGTGATCCCATCCATGCTGTATTGATAATGACCTCTGTCTGCCTCCTGTGGCCGTCCCTGGCCTCTCCCTCCTCCCATCTCCCTCACACCCTGCTCCCAGCCCAAACAAACCGTATATAAACAGAAGCCATCAAGTGTGCCAGTACCGATCTGGCTACTTGTATATTTTTTCTCTATTAGGCATCTGCATCTGCATCATACCTACTCATTTTCGTCCTGTCATAACCCCATAGTGTCTGCATACAGCCTGCCCCCTGGTTCCCAGGCTAGCCGAAAAGTGGTGGTTTATCGCACTCCTTATCTCCGCCAAAGCTCTCCTCGCGCCCGCGCCAGGGGCCCCGGCAATCCGCATCTGCTCCTCAGCACTCCCAGTCTTTGAGTCACACGGCCAACCCCGTCTGGCCCTTTCCCATCTCGTCTCTTGCTGTGCAATAAGAGAACAAAGGGGCTTCCGGTCTGATCACACAACGCCATCGCTTCTGCATTTGACATTACGCCTTCCCCTTCTCCGCCTTGCTACTTCCGGGTGACTCGTCGGCCCTTCATTCCAGCTCGTTCCGACCAGTGACTTCCCTAGACGATTAGCCGGGTCACCCCAGCACCTCTCGCCGCACCCATATAGCCCACGTCCCCGAGGGTACTTCGTCTCTCGCTCCGTCATCCATATCCTAGAACTTTCTCGTTAAAATACCTTTAATCCTATCCTTTGGTATCCCCTATCTCTTTCGCCTGCGTCACCCCATTAGACTGTATCACTTGCCTTCGCTGGCCAAACGACCCCGACCGCCTATCGTCAAAGGTGTCCAACTCGGACAAAGAAGACGTGGCTGTACATATAGACGCCACCCTCTTGGTCGGATACCCCGAGCCATCCCGACTGCAACAGATTCACGGAACCGCTACAGCCAGGACAACAACAACGACAACAACCAACACAACCACCTAAAGAACAACGCCATAGACACTCCGGGCACTTGCACCGGCTGCATAACCACCATGGCTGCCATGATCGAGACTCCCGCCCAGTTCGAGCGTGACCTCCGCAGCGCGCACAAGGGTTGGAAGCGCGGAAAGGACTCGCGTGCGAAGTGGGCACACGGCCACAGGCCCGCCGCCGGAGTCAAGTGGAACCACTTCACTGGAGGCGCTGCTGACGAGACGCCCGAGGTGCTGCTCTCCAAGAGCAGGCCGGACAAGAAGTACAGCGACTAGTGAGTCATTGCCTCGTGTTCCTTCTCGACGATGTATTTGTGTGGTTGCATTGCTCTCGATCGTGACTGACGATCCCCTCCTCTTCCAGCTGCCACGACTCGCACCACAAGAAGCACCCCAACTATGTGAAGGTCACGCGGCCTCTACCCTACATGCTCGGGCCGTCAAACGGCAGGCCGAGCGGCAGGATGGGGGCGCGGGGCGAGATCGAGGACCCGGAGGCGTCGCGGTCCATCATCGACCTGCTGGTGCCGGCGGCCCGCAAGGAGTCGTGGGGCTTCCACTCGATGGACGGGGTGCTATACAGCTTCGACGCGGTTGACACGCCGTCGAGGCCCGTGACGCTCGAGACATTCGTCAAGGCCAACAACCGCACGACGGAGAAGATGGTCGAGAAGGAGTACGAGATCCTCGACGCCAACGGCGAGCTCCTCAAGGGCCGTAAGGCGAGGAGCGACCTGCGCAAGTCGGCGAACGGCGCTGGAGGCAGCGGTGGAGGCATCGATGACGACGACTTCGAGCTGGTGTGAAAGCCGGCGAGGCGTTGTTTTTGGTGCGAGGTGATTGGATCGGCGCATTTCGCTTCTAGACTGTGTTTGCCATGTCTCTGCCTATGCAGGGTCAGCATCCCTTCCATACTTTTCCCTTCCTTCCTGTAACCCTGCATTTTTCATCGTATTCCCTTTTCAGGTTGTTGTCCAAGCGTTTGCTTTGTCGGTTGGAGTTTTTTTTTTTCTTTTTTTCTTTTCTTTTTGCCCTCCGTTGGGTATTCGTTTCGACGCAGGGTAACAGGACCGCTCAGGTAGTGCGCCGAGCTTCACGTTTGTCGGATCCTTTCGCTTTAGACATTTATACCGGGATGGATCGATCGAGAGCACGTTAATGTCGGCCGTGGTTGCGGTCGTGGGCAGTCAGTCGTTGGCAGTGGTGAGGGATTTGCGGTGCACCCTTGTGTGGCAGAAATTTTTAGCATCCTTGGGGATGGCTGTTGTGCGTGCCAGCCACAGTACCCCAGTGGGGTGCGATTTGGGTCACGTTGATTGGAGCCGTATAGTTTCGACGCTTCACTTTCCCGCAGTCTTCCATATTTTTCTTTCCAATTTCACACCTTTCTTTTTTCTTCCCTTTTTTTTTTCTTCTTTTTCTTTCTTTTTGTTTCTTATTCTT